TCTTTGGGGCCTTCAGTGGGCTTCGTGGGGCCTCTGGAGTGCTTCTTGGGGGGGGCAATTTTGAAATGTTTCGAAGCCTCTGGGGGGCCGTTTTGGGGCATCTTGGGGCCTCTTTGGGGTCTCTGATGGGGGCATTTTTAAGCCTCTTGGGGCCCTCTTGGGGGCCTATTGGGGCGGAAATCTCCATTGTCGGTTCGTGTTCCCCCTCTTTGGCACCGCTTGGGGCCGTCTTGAAGCCCTCTTGGGCCGTCTTGGGCGCCTCTTGTACCGTTTGGGCGCCCTCTCGGGCTGTCTTGGGGGCCTCTCGGGGGCCTTTTGGGCCGTCTTGGGGCGATGTTCGAGGCTTCCTCGGCAATCTTGGAAGGTCAGAAGCCCGAAAACGCGGGCAAGCAAAAAACATTGAAAAACACAATGAAAATCTATGATTTTAGCCGCTTGGGGCTCTCTTGGAAAGCCTCTCGGAACGCCCCTGGGGCTTCTCGGGGGCCCCTTGGGCCTTGATGGGGCTATCTTGAGAGTCTTGGAGCGCTCTTGGGCCGTCTTGGCGGCTTCTTGCCGTCCCCGGAAGCCGTGGTGGACGCCTCCAGGGGCGCAAAAGAGCCTCCGGACGCCCGGGGGCAAAGTGGGTTACGGGGGGGAGGGGGGGGGGAAATTCGGGAGGCTGTCCCGGCCCGGGGCCCTGGCCCCCGGGTATATGATATATACATACATACATACAGACATACACATACATACATACACACACATACATACATGCATACATACATACACATATACCTAGTAATTATAGATACATACACACAGACACATACATACATACATATATGCATATACACATACATACATACATGCATGCATGCATGCATACATACATGACCCCCCACACACATACATATACACATGCACATATGCAAACATGCATACACACACGCACATACATTCATACATACATACATTCTTACGTAAACAAATGCATATATCCATGCATACGTATGTACATATATACATACCGAAACACATACATATACGCATACACATACACCAACATACATACATGCAGATACACAGGTAACCATACATACCTATGTACGTACACGTATACATACCTACAACCATACATACGTACATGCGTACGTACATACACACATACCAAATTGCACACATACGCACCTGCATACATACGTATATACATGCATACATATACATATACATACATACACACATCCGTGCACATATAGTTAAATGCATACGTACCTACATACATAGTTGTATATTCATCCATCCATCCATCCATACATACATCAATCACGTACACACGTACATGCATGCATACATACATGCATGCAAACATAGATGCATACGTGCACATATATATATATATATATATATATATTCACACTTTTTGCCTCGCTCGACCCTGGAGGTGCTTGGCCGCAGCACGGGAGCAGTGCGGCGGCAGGGGCTTGCGGCACTACGCTTTGGGGCGCAGGGGTTCTGCAGGACCTCCTAAAGGAGGGGCGGTGGTGCGAACGGCAACCACCACTGAGCAGCCCATCGCGAGGCCACCCCCTGCCCCCATCCGGCTTCTATCGTTAGGCCGGACCTCCGAAAAAAACGGCGGTGCCCCCGGGCACCCAGCGGTAGCAAGCGAAGAGGAAGCCTGGCGAGAGTCAGTACGCAAGAGGGGGGAGGAAGGAGGGGGAGGGACATGAGGGCAGTTCTACGTGCTCAGGCGCGCGCCCTGGGCCTGGTTGCCCTCACAGACTTTGCCGGCTGCGCTGTTGCATGCTCCGCTTTTGCATGTTGCGTCGGTGGTGGTGGGGCGGTGGTGGGAGCCTCAAAGTGCTATGGCATGACAACTGCTGCATGCTTCACTGCTGATGCTACCTGCTCCCCCCTCCACGGCGGTCTTCGGCTAAGTGTGAATCACCGGGCCCCCTGCTCACACAAAAAGGCCATATCATTTCACACTTTTTGCCTCGCTCGACCCTGGAGGTGCTTGGCCGCAGCACGGGAGCAGTGCGGCGGCAGGGGCTTGCGGCACTACGCTTTGGGGCGCAGGGGTTCTGCAGGACCTCCTAAAGGAGGGGCGGTGGTGCGAACGGCAACCGCCACTGAGCAGCCCATCGCGAGGCTACCCCCTGCCCCCATCCGTCGCCCCCAATTCCGACTTCCAGTCGCCGGAAGCCCCTGTGCCGCTGTACCTCTGGTCACGCCTGCAGAACCGCGCGCCTTCCAAGGTCGGCGGCCTGCTGCACCAGCGATGCTGTTGCATTGCGGGACCAGGCGCCCATTTCTGCAGCAGCTGTCTCAATGTACACGCGCGCTGTCCGCGCGTGCTGCCAACGCCCCACCACCATGACTCGGTCGAGGGATCCCGACAGCAACCACAACCATGTAGCACCACCTCTCCGGAGCCCGTAGGGCGTAACTGTGTCCCCACTGATGCCGAAGAACTGCGCCAGCCATTTGTGCTCGTGCGCGAAATGGCTTGGTGGTT